TGGCTGAACCAGATCACCTCAGAAAGAAGACACTGTTCTTGTTTCATCACTGGGACAGGGGCTGTATGTACCTCTCCTTGTATGGGTTTTTCAATAAGTGAGAAAACTGCCACCAGTGATATCTGCAGTGTTTCTGTCATTCTTTTTCGTTTGTCATGTTAAAGTGCAGTCAGACTGAAGTCAAGGGGCCAAAAGAAGCTTTATGGGTCACTACAACTCTTGTAACTGTTGTTACTTTTTCAAATTGTGACAGGAAGGAGTTAAAACTTAAAATATGCAAATGTTTCAATCAGTAAATGGTTTTACAATTTATTACACAATATTTTGAATAAGGACTTTGTAAAACAATATAGTTCATTAGTTTAGCCAAACATTACTTATATATAGTAGCACAACATTTACATCATATATGACCAACTCCAGGAGGCACTTGGATAAGCCATAATCCAATCAAACAATGGATAACTCTATTTTTGTAACTTCTATGTTATTTCTTGGCCATCCAGCTATGCCAAATGGATTTGAAATCCCATAAATGCCACAGTCCAACCCTGTCTGCCAGTAACTACATTTATATACAATTTATCATTTGTCTTCCCACTTTTTCAAGGTAAATGTAGTTACTGCCTTCATTATGTTCCAGAGCAAAGTATTTTCTAGTGTAGTGCTGCATTTATGTACAACACGCAAATTGTTGGGAGGTGTTTTTTTTGTATGGTAGGTGTAAACAGAGACCCTGGCGTGGTTATGTATAGGGGGAAAAAAGCACTTGGATTAAGGTTAGGGATGGATCGTATTTACTAAACTAAACCAAAAAGAAGCCTATGTTATGATAGGAATGCCATCAAAATCGGTTGCTGCTACACTGAAACACATTAATAGTTTTTTTTTTAAATCCCTGCCGACACATGCACTTAAGTTCACCTTGACCTATGGGTTGTTAGCGAAAACAGATACGGTGGCTAGTTACGGTATTTATTATGAGTATGTGGGTGTTCAGCCTGACACCATCGCTGGCTGCAGGTGAAGATGGAAGTTATAAGTCCATGGCATCTCAAGGTCCTGACCGGATATTTTACTACTGCTCAGCAGGTTTTAACATACTTTTGTCAAGTTTTACAAGTTCATTATAAAACCTGAAGTGGGTGCATGTGTTTGATTTATAGATGCTCGGTGCATCAGTTTAGTTGCACTTCCCCCCGCTTTGGCCTCCAGTTGTTTGAATCAAAGCAGCCATACTTTAAACCTTGACATAATAATCAGAATGGTTGAATCTCTGCTTGTTGATTATTCCCGGTGCCTTCAGGTTTTCAGTGTGTCCACAATGTACTTGCTGTTTTCTTACGCTGACTGTTCACATCTTAGACTCTAGCCACAAATATGATGAATATAATATTTTATTCAATAAAATATTATATTCATTGTGGTTACTCTGCAGATTACAATTTGTATCCTGTCATGTCATGCAAGTCACATTATATGTTTTTGTTGTCAATGTTTTTTACTTTATAATGAATTCATGAATGAAGTAACAATGACTGCAAGAACTGTGACTACGTTTATACAAGTACAAAATACTGAAAGCAGAACTTTTACTTACTCTGGGGGAGTAAAGAAGGGAGGACAGCACAGAAAAGAAAGAGAGAAAAAAATTGGGACACTTTCTGTATCATAGATTGGATGTCAGTTCATGACTGCAGGCCAATAACTGTTCTCAAATGGATTGTTTTTGTTAGTATTGGGATTGATGCCATCTTTGAAGCCACTGAAAGCTATGTTGCAGCAGTTAGTTGAGTGTAGCGGGAAGCGGGAGTTGTGGGAAAAAAATTATCTTGTGTTTTGAAAGGTTTGTGGTTCCACTTAGCTTAGATCTAAAATGATCATTTTAGTGAAGTTATAGAAAATGTTACCTTTATATGAAAGGATTTATACATGTATGATGTATATATACTGCATTCAGCTGAGGTTTCTATCAAGAGTACATTACAGATGTAAGGTTTTTCTGCTATTTAAATACCTTCATTGTTTTGTTGTAGTGCTACTGAATCTTTTCAGATATGTCAGTTGACAAGATTCATAAGTGAGTGGGTACAGGTACTTACAATATAGACTTATATGTCTTATAGACATATAGATATTGAATATTGAGACTTTCAGAGTGTGAGGCTTCCTTTAGAGACCAGCGAATTGTCCAAAGAAGACTCACTTTTTTATCTTTTTTACTGCATTGAGGGTAAAATAGTGTTCACAAGAATGTGTCTCTGCCCGCTTTTGAATACATGCAGGTGATGTTTGTTATTTATGCAAATTAATTGTATCTGCTGATGGGGGATCTGTGGGCTCTTGGCTTCAGTGTTCAATTGTATGGCAAATCAAAACAAGACTGGTGCTTCTCAGGCCATAGATATTTATCATGTATTGATATATGTCATCATCCAAAAAAGGATGATAACATTTTTTATAGTGATGGAGTAGAATTTGATTAATCCGCCAATGCCAAAGATGTTGAGGTCTTACCGTGGACATCCAATTTTCAGAAGATAAACTCATACATGCTCATGGGGCCTGAAAAAAGAGTTATATACCCCAATGAAAGTATTGTACCTTAAAGGGCTTCTGGAACATTTGAAACCGAAATTTCATGCAAACCAGGCCAAGGGAGTGTAGATGGCCGCGCGCTGAATATTTAATGGTTCACAGAAATGTTAATACAGATATCAGTGCCCATGGAGCTGTCTTGTAAAAAGGAATCTGTGAGCCTAAAGTAGACAAAAGTAGGTTGTGGTCAATTAGAGTACGTTAGGAGTTCAAAGAGTTTATGTAGCAGTCCTCTGATGACAACAAAGTACAGAGTATCATTATGAGGTTCTGCGATGCTCTAATTTGGGGCAATAATCACTTAAACTAAGCTACATGCTCGAAAAGTTGTCTCGAGTTATCTTTTTCACCGAAAATGGTGAAGTAAAAAAGTGAGTACAGTGAAATGGATGTGTTGTGACCAGTAGCCGAGAAACTTTGACCACAGAACAGGGGTCACTTATCAGCCTTGATCCTTTCTGTGTGAAGTTTACATGTTTTCCACCTCCTTGTGTGGGTTTTTCTCCGGGTCGTCTGTTTTTCACCCGCAGTCCACCCACATGTAAGCCAGGTGGACTTGAGATTATGTGTCTGTGATTGTCTATGTGGGAGCCCGCCCTGCAGAGGACTGATGATCTGTCCAGGACGTTCCCCTCCCTCCCACCAGTGCATTCTGGGATCGGCTGCTGCCCCAGATAAAGATTCATGCAGCCTGTTTTTGCCGCCTTTTGTCTTGCATGTTTTTACGGTTCAAGACTGCACTATTTTGAGCGTAGGAGGGTTTTTTATTTTTTACAATGTTTTTAGGTTCCTTCTTCCTGACAGCTTTGTTTGATGTTTTTTACGAGGTGTTTTACACGCCAGCACTCCAAGGGAGAGGTCAGGTGTGTCGATGAGGTAGTTCTGATTAACTGGTGAACCTGGAAATGGGGAAAATTTTTGTGTGACAGTTGACGGTTGTTGTGGTATGTTGGAAACATTATATAATTTTTAGGGAACTTCGAAAGAACAATAACATGACAGCATATGTCTTAAGCCTACATATGTTACCTTTTTAACTCCCAAAGATGAAAGGGTCAGTTATAAATCTCAACTCTAATTAGCACGTCTCATCAGATTCAGAAACCAGGAGTAGATTTATGACTTCTTTGGATGGATGTTTGTAACTGTAAACCTTTATGTCTACCAGAGAATGAGAAACACCTGAAAACATGTCGATACAGAAACACTGAAAGGGAGATTTTGGGAGGGTTTTGATATCCAGTGACCTATCTGGACCGTATGTTTAAAGCCCGAAAGTAACACCAGTAGTCTTTTGCAGAGCAATAACATCCTATTTTAGTAATAAGTTATATTTACTGAAAAATAACAAAACATTTCTAATTTTTGTTATAATATTGTGTTTGGACTTTTGCAAAGTGCTGACTTATTTATACTGGCAAGTGAAGTGCGGCCTGATGTCAGCCTTTCGCTTTGTTTTGCTAGCTACCACAGGAATTACCTCTGTTGTTTCAGCTAAACCAGAAGTGTGCTTCTGAACAACACAGAGTTCTCCAACTGTGCAACAAATGGGAGTTGTGAAATCTAGTCCTGGTGGCAAACAGCCTACTATATGTCAGACAGTCGCCCGGCTGAATCAAATCCTAGTGCAATTTCTTGTCACAACATTCTGCATGACATGACCACTGTAGCTGAAGCTCTATGTAGTTGTAAAGGTCTTCCAATTGGAAACTTCTGTATTCCTACCAACAAACTGTCATATTCTGCTAAGGTGCTAATAGCGTCTGACAGCAGGTACACAGTTGCAATCACGTGTCAGCATCTGACATGCGACGCACACTCCTCCCTTCTCAAGCCCAATCCTGCAACTGTGCACCTCTCTCAGCACTCCCCTTGCTTCAAACATCCCTGCTTTCGTCCTGATAAGCAGACTTCATCCCAAACATATTATATCTATTCAGTCGGGGGGATTAAGTGCAGATACATGACATTTTGGGCCATTCCAAGGACCTGAATCAACGCATAAACAACTCCTACGCTATGTCAGGGAAATATTTATCTTTGCTCATAGAACTTCTTGAGATAGTGTCAACACTGCTTAGAGACACAATTACATTTGTGGATGGAAAACTAAGAGTTCTCGTGGAAATACAAGTGTGTAATCTGAGCAAAGATGAGAATACTTGTCAAGATGTGAGACTATCATTCTGATAAAAATAACAACTGAGATGATATTAAATAAAAATCCTTTGCGTGATCATGTATCATGATGCCTCCTTATTTTATTTTTAAATCACCCCTTAGTCATCTTACTGGGACAAATAAAGGAGGATTAAAGGAATAAAATTTACACAAAAAGATGAATTAGGATTGAGATGAATATAACTGGTGGTAATGTGGTTTCTTTCCTTGTCTTCTCTCAGTAACCACAACGCTATCTCCAGGCTCAGGCCACGCCAGAAGATGCAACGACACAGAGAAGACCTACTGTGTGAATGGCGGCGACTGTTACTTCATACATGGTATAAATCAGCTCTCCTGCAAGTGAGTTCCTTTGTTTTTTGGTTTCACATCAAAATTTTCACATCTGCCTTCTTTGTTCCAAATGAAAACTCATTTTGTGACGTTTTTACTCTCATAATGTTCCTCAGCATCCTAACTACACATTTTTATCCTGCTGTTTATTTTCCTGATAGCACTGGATTTCCGTTCTTTCTTTCCGCAGCAGCAGCAGCAACACATCACAGGGAAATGTTGCCCGTCTGCCTAACTACCCACCTGTTGTGTATTTTAACACTAATAATGGAGTGAGGCGGTGCTGTGCTCATCCTTTTAAGTCATGTTTAGTGTACAGGAGGGCTGCACATTAAAAGCCTTTTCAAAATGTCATGAGTCACTGGTTTAGTAGTGAGCAAATATTTATGCCTGTTAGAGGCCCCCAGTGAGGTAAATAGAATCCTTGCTTACATTTGAGGTCCTTGGCAGAGGGGATCAAAAACCATGTGTAAAGTGGACTGGAGAAACCATGTATCTCAGCTTTTCAGGAAGAAAACAGGTTGACATTATCGCAGAAACAACCTTTTTCTTTCTTTGACATTTACACTTTAGTTTGTATTAGACTTGAGGTCAAGAAACATTATTTAGAACGATGTTCATGAGGAGAGATCCTTTCAAAGATACAATTTCGGTCTTATTTCTGGTTTTCCTTTGTTTCTGAGAACACTGGCACATTTAGTCGATTAGTCGAAAATGTTGATATTTGATAATCGATTAATCATTGAAGTCATTTTAAAGCAAAATGCAAAACATGTTTGCTTTTCGAAATTGCGATGGACATTTGTGGGCTAAAAGATACATCAGTTAATCAAAAAAATAACTGTCAGAGTAATCGATAATGAAAATAATTGTTAGTTGCAGCCCTCTTGCACCACTGTGAGAGGCTGTTACTGTAACTGCTGCAACCAGTAAAACCAACACAAAATATATACATTGTCTCTTGCCATGGTTGTCAGATATTATGTTGCATGTTCTGTTCGACCATATGTCATCCTAACATAAGTCCTTTGGATGGTTTGATATAGAGCTGAAACATTGGCGAGGCTCCTGTGCCCAGTTGGCCCAAGGAAGAATGCTCGACAAGCAATGAGGACATGGCTGCAACAGCCGTTCAATACGCTGTGTACAAATTGGAGGCAGCAATAACTCAATTGCTGCAGCTAATTCACTCACGGCTGGGGCATGGGTCCAGAAAAGTTGGATAATGCAGTGAAGGCCTGCAGGGATTTGTTGCCCCATAGCCATCTCATTCAATATAGGCCAGGCTTCAGTGGGTATTACTCACTGGCTAAACAAGTCCTGCAGACAGCTAGCCCTACTTTCATGCCCAGCTCCCTCACTTTGAGGTATAAACTTTGTTTTGGGGAGAGGTAAGGTTAATAAATGACCCAAAGTTACTCTTTTCTGCTGATTTCCTTCTCATAAATTAATTGTAAAGAAAAAAAGGTGTAGGCTCAATCATAAAAAAACATTCACATGACACTTAAAAATCTATTCTATACCTAACCTACATGGCTATGCATGTGTGAAAATAGTAAAGGATCATTAGTCATCATTCATTTCAATTAAGTTTTCAATAAATGTTTTTTCTCTGTCAATTAATGAATCTTTTAATTTATTCTTTGTCTGACCAGCACTCCATAATCCCAAGTTTCAATGATGGAAACAGGCAAAAATCAGCAAATCTCACATTGGAGAAGCTGAAATCAGAGAATTGTTGGGGATTGTAAAACTAGACGCAGATTAATTTTCTGTCAGACAACTGAGCAGTTGAGCAACTAACGGTTTAAGCTCTATAAAAAATATACATTGGCAGTCTTCAATGAATTATTCCTTCGGAAAAACATAACAAATACTGTTTTATGAACAATTTGCACTGGGAACTTTTACCAAATCATCTCTGTGGGACTGTGGGCTGTGTAAGTCTACTGTATATACATTATGTAGAATACAAATTGAATATAATTTTTTACCTCCTGAATGTTAGGAATTTTTGCTCAAATTATAATGAATGATGACATTGATGTATTTCCCCATTTCTTAACTAAAGCTAGAAGAGTGATAATAGAGTTTGCAGCTGCACCACAGTGGATAGTTGCACACTCATCTGATTTTTAAATTATGTAGTGACAGGTTATTTCTTTCATCTTTCAGCCAAGTTTCCTTGGTCTAGGTGGTGCTATCCCCCAGTTAAACACCATCACTCAGGATGAGTAATTTAATGCTGAATGTTATGGTGCTCCTGGGAGGTGTTGTGTGAAACCAGTAAATCACAAGCAATGACCTTTGTTGGATTGGTGGTCTAGTTGTGACTGTGAGTGGAATGTTGGTACCCCTAAAAGACCAACTGCTCATTCTAATGTGATTATAATGAGGAATTATGGTTTGGCCCAACACTGATGGTGATGATACAGTAGTCTGTCTTCACTTACAAAAATATAATAAGCTACATGTCAGAAAACGTTTTTTTGACTCTGACTTATGTTTCAGACCAGAAGTAAAGAGAGTTGTCTGTTCGTGCTTTTCCATTTCAAAATCTCCATATTCAAATCATTCTTTTAGAACTGGAAATACAAATTCAGGGTTTTATTTCCTCTTGATTTTACTAGTTTATGACTCACTGTCCAACGGTTATAAAACTGTCACATTTGAAGGTTATGAACACAGTTACCGCTCTCCCAACAGACACCAAAAGAAAAAAACGCTACCCCAATTTCAGCTTTGCTGCACAGGCTTCCTAGGATTGATTTATTGATCACCAAAAGAAGCAGTGCATGGTTTATCCCCAGATACATTCCACTTTCTTGTCCATGTAATCATGAATGTTGCTCTTCTCTTATCCACCAAAATACAGACTGGGCCTTTGCTGTTGGAGCCCCTGAAGCCTATAAATTACCTTTTATATTATTACTTTTTTTTTTTTACTTGGCTTTTAGCCTTTTTATTACATGTATTATATCTTTTTTATTATTATTATTTTTTGTAATATACTCTTGATCATTTTTAGTAGCAGTATTGTTTTCCTTTTCATTTTTCTGAATTTGTGGATGGTGGAATACTTTATTGGTTGTTAAGTGTCTTAACTTATTAAACAATAAATTAACAACAAAATTGTTATCTTGAGTAGTATTATTAACAATATTATAATAATGACTATTATACTATACTATATTATTATTACTATTAGTAGAAGTAGTTGTGATTAATTTTTTTATGCATTTTCCTTGGTGTCCAGAGTCATCACTACGTGTTAGTGTGGGTCATTTTGAAGTGACAAAGTTTACAAAGACTTTACTATGACCTTTAACAATATGTTGTTAAAGTTCAGAGTAATATTTTCAGTGCACCTCACTTCCTGTGTTTTCCTTTTCATAACACTTGTCTGCTCCTTCTCAGATGTCCGGATGGATACTTCGGCCCTCGATGCTTACAGACTGAGCCGCTGCGGTTGTACATGCCCAATCCTTTCAAAAGTATGTTCACTTGATATGAGCAGCTGAGAACAGAGACACAGTTGGCACTGGATTACCTCTGTGGACTCCTGCTGCCCCCCTCCCAGTTTTCTTCCTCTTTCTCCTCCTCTTTCTCCTTCTCAGGTCAACACGCAATGAGCTGTGCACTACACCATGTACACGGTGGTGTCATCCATGGGAACACTCTGCTTCTGCTGTCTGTAGTTGTGCTGTTGTTCTAATTCTGTGTCTCTCTGCCTCTCTCTCTCTCCCTCCCTCCCTCCCTCCCTCCCTCTCTCCCTCTTCACTTTTTCTTATGCATACTCTCCTTTTCACTCCACCCTTGCCCTCTCTCTTGTTCTGTTTTCCTTCTCTTTCTCACTCATCCACCACCCTTCTCCTCCCTCTCTTTCTGTGGCTTTGTTTCTTTCCATCAGGTGTCCAAATGACTTTACTGGTGATCGCTGTCAAACCTACGTTATGGCCAGTTTCTACCGTATGTCAATTTCCTCTTCTGTCACTCTGTCAGACTGTCTTCATGTCATGCGTGCATGCTGAGTGTAGAGAGATTGCATTAATTTCCTGTTATTACCTAATAGTTGTGTCTGTGCCTCTGATGATGACTCATTCACAAGCTGGCATAGTTTACTGGAGTCTGTTATTGTGTTTGGTCTGCATGTGATATTATGTGCCCTTTAACTCCCAGTATATTGCATGTGCACTCCCAGAGTACAAACTGATAGTAAGTTTGATAACAACAAGTAGGCGGCTGGATTTAGATGCTTTGTGGAAGTTGAATTGCACAAAGTCAGCTGCATGTAACAACACAGTCTAATGGCAAAACAATTACTAAAACCCCGTACCTGTAGCTTGCTTACTAATAATGTTGATGCAATCAGCTGCAAACACAAGCATGTATGATCCTATCTCAGCTGATGGATGGAAAGCCAGGCCTAGACAATTAGCATTAACTAATACTAGCATGACAAATGATTGAATGTGTTAGGTGGTGCACTGGCTTTACTCATAAAGAAATGTTTGTTGAGGACCATCACTTAAAGAGAAAGATGACGCTCAAAATGTAGTCTTATACGCCATTTATTATTCATTCCACACAAAACAGATGTAGGATTTCTTTGGAAGTAAATGCATTGTTTTATGCATCTATCCGTGAGCAGGTGATACATGAGCCAACATGACAGAATTAATTCTTGACTAAGCTAATTTGATTCCCCAAAGGTCCAGTCATTCAGGGAATATTTCAAGTTTTTGCACGGTGGATCACAGTTGCTTTAAGTAGAATATACATGCACATACAGGCTGACATAACATTCCTTCAAGATATGTCAAGCTGTTGACATGAGGCACTATTTCTTTCCACTTTCAGATGACCCGATTAAGACCTCTGTTACAGACACTCTCCAGTAACCACCTACCTAACATTATTTAGTCCAACATTCAGCAAAATTGCATTTGTTGCTAACACACATTGCTTTAGAAGTAGCAACGATATGATGGCTCACAGCAGATGTCCTCAGCATAAAGTTCATGCGCTGTACTAGAGTGCCGTGTCAAACTGCTTTGCTAGCCTGGGGTAAGAGAACCCTGCACCGCTCTACACAGCAATGTCAGCAAGCACATCCATCAACTGCAGAATTATACCAAGATTAGAGGAAGGTTTGTGGAGGACTATGGCTTGATACACCTTGCCCTTAAGGTTTTTCTACATGTTTTACACCTCAGTGTTACCTGTTGGTGGATTACAGTATCTCAAGTGATACTGAAAGGAGTGAGTGACCTGACATTAATGAAACATAAACTGAGATTTCATGTAGCTTGGATTTGGTTCTGTGAAGAAGACACACACAAGGGTAAAGATAGTGTATCGTAATTATATAAAATTTAACACAAACTCTATAATTCATGTCAAATAATAGCAAGGAATCTCTTGCTATCTTCCTGCATATTTGTCAGCGTCATGTCTTTACAAGCCCATGTGGTTGCAATTCAGTGTAACATTAAAGTTAGAAAATAACTAACTGCATCTGCTTTTGGAGTTGCCTGATGCTGCCTACAGTCTCATCCCTGTAGTCTGACTTGTAGAGCTTACACATACTGTTTGTTGTATGTTGGCTCGGAGTACAATGCAAAAACCCCCTTCTTAACTACAAGTAATTTCATCTCACATTAAGTCGTAATGCACTGTGCTGAAATTACTTGCTTTTTTGGCAGAGTAGACAGTGGTGTGTGGGAGCGCTTTTTCCTACTCTCACTCTCTTTTTCTGCATTCTGTTTAACTTCAGTGCAGCTGTGCGACTGCATCAAGGACAGCATTTATCCAGTTCTCATCCAGCCACATGAACACAGACCAGGCTTTGATTACTTGGTTTACATGCTTATACATTTAAATCAATGACTTGACTATTTGTAGGCTTAAAAGATAAGATATATAAAAAAACAGGGTGTAAACAGTAAGATTTAAAGGTCCAGTGTGTAACATTTAGGAGGATCTATTGGCAGAAATGGAATATAATGTTTATAGGTATGTTTGATATTAGTGTATAATCACCTAAATCTAGGATTGTTGTTGTGTTTTTGTGACCTTTGAATGAGCCGTTTTTATTTACAAATGTCGCGGGTCGCTTTCCATGCAGTCCGCCATGTTGAACAGCCACGTTTCTATAGTGTTCCAGAACAAAAAAGCCATGCAAATTTTTCACTAGTTTTCTAGTAGTCATCAAATACAGACGCGAGCGGTGTTCAGTTAGTTGCAATCTGCAACTTTACCGCAAGATGCCACTAAATCCTGCACACTGGTCATAATGAAACAACTGTTGAGACAAGATGCATTCATACCTGCTAACATGCATACCGCACAAAAATGAAGTGTTCTCTGTCCATGGTGGCATTATCATAGAAAGAACTTGAATGTAGTCCAAGTATATAATGTAATATGATTTTTCCATATATGGCTGTTCAAAAGTACAGATCCACAGTAGAAATCAGGTTCATGAAAGCCACATGCAGACATGACAGATGTAGTGGATGTAGTGAGCTATAATGGCCTCTCACATAGTTCACATTTTCTACTCTCAATTAAGAAAAATAATTCAGGTTTTCTCCCAAAGAGCATCCACATGTGCACACACACATCCATTCCATACTTAAAGACCCGCCTCCTGTAGGGGCGCCTCCCATCCCCAGGAGATAGCAAAGAGAAGGAGAATGGCTTCTGCTCCTCAGCCATAAGGGCTTGGCTTAACAAGAACATGTTGTCATAAGAACAGCTGGGGCTTGCTTCAACCCAAGTAAAGCAAGTGAGCTGCCAGAGATATGGACTCAGCTGGTTGGTGCAGACTCCCTATGGCCTCACTCTGCCATATCATATAAAGTCCAACTATAATTCTTCTTATTCAGCGTGATAACTCAGATACTGTACAGATACACTCCTTTTAACTTGCCTGTTCATGTGATGGGTGTGTTCAGAAAATGACAGCGTAGTGATTCTAAAAAAGCAGAAAACTGAAAGCCCAGGTAATCTCCGCAGATGACGCATGTTTTCCCCATGCAGCAATAATGAGAGGGGCTATGCGTCTAATATGTCCTATTCCCAGGAGATTTTTTTTGGTTATGTAATGAAATTGCTCTTTCTACAAACCCCAAATCTCTAAAATCACTACAAAGTAGAACTGAGGTGCCTCTTGTGAAAGCAACAATAATAATAGTAATTGGACTGTGTTGAGTCACACAGTAGAAATGTCTAATGTCCAGAACGTCCAAAACTCAACTCAAGAAATGTTGTTTGCTTAGAATATATTAGTTGTATATATAAAATTGTAGCTGTGTAGTCGAGTAGTTTTGTGTCGTGTGGTTTGAAGTGTGTTTTGCATGCTGTAAGTGTGTTCAGGTGTCTCGTCTTTGACGTTACTGACCATGTCATTCTGACAATTACTGACAAGTGTTTGTTGTCTCAGTTGCTGTAATGCCTATTTTTGTTTGCTCCACTATATATTAGAAGGTGCTACTCTCTTAATCTGGTCTTTTGTTTCTTTTTGTTTTCCTTCCAACTGTCCAACCCTCTGCAATGGCAGAGCATCTTGGGATTGAATTTATGGGTATGGAACAATCCATTTTGATTCTCAGTCCTAGCATAGCTACTAAATGGATGTCCTTCATTTTGACTTGCTCCCGTTCCGTCTGTGGTGTGAACTGTAAATCATATTGTCCCTCGATTAACCAATCAATCTCTCAATCAATCCTGCCATAACTCATTGTAATGACAAACTCTTAGTCAATGCAACTGATCCTCCATCAAACATCATTAACATGGATGTCATCACCTCTCATACATGTGCAAAGGAAAAGTAGAGCTATTAACTGAGTTTCCGTCTCACTCATGGTAGCATTTTTTCCTTTTTGGACTGATTTTTGGTTCCTCATTCCATCTGTAACAAGCATGATGTATCATGTTTGTAGTTATAGTATACCAGATGTCTTTTCTCAATCTTCCAACTATCCATCCTATCCAATCCTTTTAGTCCTTTGCCTTTAGTGTCTGTCTTTTCCTTTGATATGCCCTCTCTTTTCCTATTATTTATGTGTGATCTTGTCCATGTTTCTTGCATCACCCCGTCTATAGTATAGCTGAAATGTAACTTTGAAGTATGAAATATCTGTGTAACTGGTTTGAATTATCCTTAAAGCCGTAGATGCTGTGATGTGAGCATGCAATGCTATATTTAGGTCATGTTTTTCTGCTGCTGTTTCCATCCTCCTTCATTGTTAGCTCTTGTTTTCTGCTACCTTTTCCAGAAAAGTGCTTCAGTTGTTGAGAGTGAAGAATAAACGCTAGAGGCGTCTTTTCAGAGATCATGTAATTATACATTAAGTACATTTATTTAGTGGACCATGGGGACATTGGGTTAACACCCAATAACACCAATATTATTTACAAATATGATTTATTTCTGGCATCAGAAAGTTCATACAAATTGATGTGCCAGTGTAAAATGGCTGCTGGTGAATGAAAGGAGGAAACCTCAGATGGAAGGAGTTGTACAAATTCAACTCATTTTATTACATTATTTATCAGAGACCACACTGCCTCTTTGCTCCATCGTTTTCCCCGGAGACACAAAGAGTCTACTTGAGTCTCACACAAGCTCTTTTCTGGAAAAGCAAAAAGCATCATTCAAGACTCATATTTAATGATATTTCCTCTCAGAATTTACTTGTTTCATAAATTACTGTAAAATAAAGTCGAATTATTGTGCTTACTGAATGCCTGAGTAGATGAAGACTTCTATAAATAAACAAGATTGCTGATCATGCATGCATCATCAGAAACTGAGTAATGGAACTTTAGACAAAAATTGCACATTTGGTGCTATACTGCACATCAGGTTCAGTCATTAATTAAAGGCTTGAACTATTATCATATTATATATAATTTTAATTCACATCCATTTTTAGAGAATACAGTTGCTTAATAGATCAGTCTAACTATGTGTGAGCCCCTGCCCCCACCCACGCTGCCTTACTGCAGCACAGGCAGCAACAGCATCTGTTGTATTTGTGATTATGTGAGAAGAGAGGTTTGACTGTGAAGTGAGTTGTCAGGAAAGGGAAGATGAAGCTTCATACTGCTCAGGATTTAGTCAAAAAAAGAAAGAAATGTGAATCTACAGTGAAAAAGTGGGAACCTGCCCCTTCAAGACACTAATTTTTTTTATCCTTTTATTTCCCTCACTGTGTGCGTGTGGTGTGTGTGGGCGCATCTGTGTATTTGTGGGTGTGATGTTGACAGAGGCAGAGGAACTCTACCAGAAAAGAGTCCTGACAATCACGGGTATTTGTGTGGCTCTGTTGGTGGTGGGCATCGTGTGTGTGGTTGCCTACTGTAAAACCAAGTAAGTCCTGCTGATAAATGGGATCAGCTCATGATTTTTGAACTTGTAGCCTTTGAGATTTCTCTGACCACCTGCATTTTATTTTTAAAAAACAGTTTAATGTATACTCATGCTGCTGACGTACTGTTGGGAATGCATGTAATATGCAGCATATGTGGTAATGATAGATTACTGTACTTTCTGTCTCACAATTTAGTATTTTTATATTATGATACGTGTTTACAGGTGAAATAGTTAATCTAGTTACATCAAGTAAAAAAAAGCATAATGTTAAATCATTAAAGACATCTTAACAAAAAAAAGAGAGAGAGAATGACAAATATTTTCTCAACAGGAAACAAAGAAAGAAGATGCACAATCATCTGCGACAAAACATGTGTCCAGAACATCCCAATCGTAACCTAGCTAACGGACCCAATCACCCAGGACCAGGCCCAGAGGAAATCCCTATGGTAGATGTGAGTTTCTGAAAGGATTCCAACCGTTATTAAAGTATACGCATACAGCTGTACACCAAATGGTTTTATGCTCAGTTATATAATCAAAGCTTGTCTTTTTTCACATTTTCCCATCCGCCAAATCCATTTTTCCCCCGACACAGTACATATCAAAGAATGTCCCGGCAACTGAACGAGTCATACGGCCTGCAACAGAGGGATCGTTCCCTGCCAGCCATGCCTCTTCCAGATCTCACAACTCTTCCACACGAGCCCATTCATCAACTCACAGGTAAACGTGCCTCATACAGAATGTCTGTTAGCCCTTGTGTTTACCTTACATTCAGCACTCAAATACAGAATCTCAAGGAATAGGTGAATTTGGTTAATTGGTTAAATTCCCTGCTTCTAGAAAAAGATGCACCAATTGTCAAGCTTATTTTTTAAAATGTGTGATTCTTTTTAAAGAAAAAAAAGAATCACACTGGGACATGCTGGGGTGTGTCCGTGTTAACACCTTTTTTATTTGTCAGACATGAGGAACGGACATGGAGCCTGGAACATTCTGACAGCATCCTCTCTGACTCGCCGGGAATTATGTCATCATCCGTGGGGACCAGTAAATGCAGCAGTCCTGCGTGCATGGAGGCACGGGCCCGGCGCGCTGCACACTGTGGTTATTCTGACCCCCATCGGCCGGGCCTGCAGTACGGAGACTCCTTCGACTCTCTGGGAGACTCTCCGCACAGCGACAGGTAAGAAACAGGCCTGTGTGGCTGATATGGTACTGGGTTTGTCGTGAACATTTTGAGAAGTTTCCTCTCTCTCTGCTGGTTCTCTCTCAGCCTCGAGAGGCCAGTCAGGGCACTCTAAGAGACTCAGTGGAAACTGACACACAGCAGGCATGATGATGAAATACGCTAAGGTAGGCAAGAGTGAAAAACAGTGCTTATTTCAATGGGAACTCTGTGCATACAGCTACTGTAACATTATTCCCTGGCCAGTATGTAATTCTGATTGGCTAAAGTGTTCCCTTTAATTTTATTTAAGGAACAATGTGACATTTTGGCAAATACACGTGTTTGCCATCTTGCCCAGAGACACATAAGAAAATATCAATTTAGTCTTTGTGTCACAGAGATAGGTCCTGGATGTATTTAGCCTTGCCTAGCATAAAGAGTAGAACCAGACAGAAGCAGTTAGATCTGTCTGTCAGAAGCGAGGAAATGCCTTTCAACAACGCCAAAGATATATTTTAGTCTATATTTATCCTGCACCTATTTCTGTACTGAAGGGACATAGATCATGATAAAATTGATCATACATCAATTTCCTCATGTGACTCTGGGCAAGATAGTAAACATTTCCCATAATGTTGGACTTTTCCTTTAATATGAACTAGAACATGACAGCTCAATTTAATTTACTCAAAATAATGTGCTTTCAGGTCTCCCACATGCTCTTTTTTTCAGTAGTACTTGGTGTCACCTTTGGCCTGAATTTGAACTTGCTTTTTAAGTGCTTAAGATACACTCACTGATTTTATAGGGCCCAATATTAATCCCCCAAATCCCCAAATTCCGTCCCTGCTGTATGCTGATGTTTTGATTGTCCACGCTGCAGTGAACTAGGTTGACATTTGGAGATATGGGAGCACAATTGGGCCCTATACTAAAATTATAGGGCCCAACACCCACACAAATAGTTGGTTAGGTATTTTTGCTAGTAGTACATGTATTTCTTGAAGGAAGGGAATGATGACCCAGTTAGGTAAAGCAAGTCTGTCTTTGTTGACCATATAATTGAAGACTCTGTGTTTAAGGTTTGAACAAACGTGCAACACGTTGCTATACATGCGGATGCCCTGCCCTGCCCTTTCCTTTTGTATAGCTTAAACACATTCTCATTCATCTCTGTAAAGTCTTCGGAATTACTATTAGCCCCAATGTCCTACTTCGTGGTGCCTTCATTATGCACAGCATCAGCAAATCCATGCAGATGGATCACTGATAGTAAAGGTACTGTACAACTATAGCTCAATGCATGGTCACCAGTAGGTTTGAAGGAAAAGTGCCCAGTTAATCCACATAAGATCCAGTGCATAGAACAGTATGATATTCAGATTGTAAAATCTCACAAACTCGGAGAGGGAGATAAGTGGTCACATTCTCAGACGAGTGGGACGTTTTAAGTAATTAAACCCTTGCACAAGGTTGTCACAGCAAACAATAGATTGTGCAAGTGCAAAACCCAAGTAGTCTCTATTTACATGTGTAAAATGTGCACAGGTCACAGGTGTGAAACCTCCTTTCCTTTTCAAAAACAAAAAGGGGTTTAGAAGCATCCTGTGTGCTCGCACCTCAGCAGGCCTCCCTGCCTTTTGCCTGAACAAGGTTTCATTAACTATACAGTTTTTAAGTAAATTCCATTAGGCCGACCAAGGCAACCTTAGGACCAGATTTAAACCTTGTAACACATGAACTCATTTTAAAACTTAAGTGATGCTTGGTGGTACTTGGTCTGCTGTTCCTGCAAATGTCCTGATACGGTCATGCTTTAACAACTGAGCCAAATATTTAAGTAATGGAGCAAGGAGTTTCCTAAAATTGTTATAGCTGTTTTATGCATGCATAGGTGAAGTATTTAAACATTTTGGGAACTGACTACATGACTGACAGATTGAGTGTCTTACACCAGCTGCTGGCTGAAACTGAGATATGATATAAATCACAGGAACCTGAGAGAGAAATTGGACTATGCAGTCCTTGCAGTTGCTCTCTGAATAAACAGTATCAGAAGCAAATGACCAGTGTGTTAGAAACTCTCAAAAACTAACCAGACAAGATATGTCTTGCCTTGTATGTGGTTGAGCTCTAAGGTATCAACAATGCCAGCATAAAGCAAGCATGTGTGCACAAATAGGGACTTTGCCATTGAGTTGTTATGCAGAGCGAGATTGCACAACCAACATCCCCTCAGAGTCATTTCAGGTAACAAGCACCTCTTCCATCTTGGCGGCAGCTTCTGCATCAGCTGAATCAGCAGTGTTGTGGGAATACCTCAGGCTTGTGTCTCACACAGCCTTCCTCAAGGCAATAAAACGACAATCCAAACACTCTGATCCACAATGATTCACAATCAGTCATATGTAAATTCTAAGCTGCTTTTCAAATGTATTGAGATGAATGTTTAGTTGGTTTATGATGATGGTATTATGACTGTAGAACTGTATGGGAGATGAGTTATGTTTCTGATGTTTTGCCAATCCAAACAATTCAAATTTGGACAATTAGATTTTAAGTCTAGGTGGAGGAGGGTTGGAAAAGTGGCACCCATGACAACCAAACAAGTGTGAGGCTAAGATTCCTCTTTAAAGTTTAATATTGACGTAAGATTTTAGAGCTAGTGTCTATCAATCATTAGTGATTCTGTATCTTCAAGAAAATCCACATTGACTTCAGCAGGAAGCCATGATGCCCTCATGGCCATGGCACATTTGACCAAAGCTTCTTAAAATGACAACTGCAGTGAGTTGTGTATATAGTAGAGATGATGAGCTGGTTAAGGTATGGGAGAGGATTAGTAGTATTGTAGTAAGGTCTACATGTAAATCAGCCTGTACATTAACATGCTAAAAAGATGCAGTGGCTAATGTGCCACTTCAAAATATGGTTAGTGCAAATACAAGACCAGTAAAGTTAAGAGGAAATCTTAGTCAGATCTGAGTAAAATCCATACTTTGTTTTTAAAGGTGTAAGAATTTTAGTTTAAAGGACCAGTTTGTAGGATTGGAATATAGCAGTGAAGTTGCAGGCTGCAACCTCAGTCCAACAACATCGAGGTGGGTTCTTGCAGGGTTTATCTCCTGGCACCCTGGGACTGACCCCAACGTAACCCTCAATCAGACCTCCAGAGGTGGGCACTGAATGATGCCCAACCTCCCTCTCATTCCTTTCCCGCTTCACCCCTCTCCTGTCCCCACCTGAAGGAATAATGTCTTCGTTGTCCCCAGAGTCAGTGTCCTTGTCGGAGCCACTGTAAACCAATTACTGTATTCCCTGCTGTCAAACTGGACTGAAGCTATGTTTGGTCTTGATCTGACTGTGCCCGCTCCAGTTCTGGTGTTCATTCTGGCACAGCAACCCGCCAGCATTACTCACTGGTTCTCCAGGCCTGAATACCTCCTTCTCCAGGTGGTCCAAAGTTCTGGTGCTAGTGGTATAAATACCAACATTCTCCCAGTGCTCTGAGCTGCCATTCTGGAAAGAGTTATCAGCAGTTAGTGGTGATATGCTTACTAATTCTTACATAATACATCTTTAAAAGTGTTATAACCTAGTACACTGGGATGGCTGGGCGATCTTGTTGGGCAGGTTAGTCCAGAGCCTATGGGTGCAGAGAAAGACAATTTGTCAGTAAGTCAGTGTTTCCCATTAATTACCTACACTGTGGTGGCCCGCCATAGTTTCATAACGAACCTTAAATATTTTCATACTTTTCTCTAACATTGTGTTTTGCCATGAAAAGCCTCTCTCACTTACAGTACTAATCTCCCCTCACTCTGCCTACGCCTGTACAGTCCACTGACAGTCACACTGCAGAGAAACACAGAGACAGACGTTCTCTGGCTCAGATACAGTGTTTATTTTACCAGTGTGGACCAGGTAAAGCAAGAGTGAACAGTAGTGAACACATCAGCTGTTGCTGATGTCATTAGTTACCACGTGGTTTTTATTTTGATAGGCTCTGTCATTAACAATGAGTCTCCTTCACATGTGCTCACCTGCTGTTATTAAAACAGAATCACGGGTGAAAAAATCCTGAACGCGAGTTGTGTTTTTGTCAACAGTGACACATACAGAGAGAGAAAAAGAGGTGGAGCAAGCAGGTTTGTGTAAGAAAGACAGACTAGAGTATGTGTGTGTTAGTTTAAAGATCATTTTAATACAAGTGCCCAAACACTTACCAATATTAATGGGTCTAATAATAATAATTTCTCTTTTGCAAATCATCAGCATCAACCAATATTATGTTAGTATTTTATATGACCCAAGAATATTAACAAAAGAAGTAGATCCAGAATAGATCCCTGGGGGACGCCACAGGAAGCCAATGGTGGTTAAGTTCCCATTAGTTAGTTCTGCAAGAATAAGAATAAAACCAGTCATGAGCAATACCAGAGTACCATATAACACAAAATGACTGCAGTATATTAGATTCTGTACTGCAGAAGATTGGTGAAACTAAAACACACTTTTCCCAAGTAATTTCAACCTTGGGAAAACTGCCTCAATACTATGAAAGAACTTAAAATCAGATATAAGTTTTCAAATATATCATTATTGGGATTGAAAGTGTACAGTCACTATGCCTAGTGTGCAGTCTAACTTATAGCAGTTCAGCTCAAGTGAACATCTAAGCTAAATCTATGTATGGAATATTTAATATTTAAAATTTGAAGTTCCCATTTACAGTTTGCTAGTAAACGGCAACTTAAGGTGCAGTGTTCATTCAGTTAACAATATGTCTATGAAACATACAAACAGTTTTTGTATACTCCTCTTTCTAACATCTTTTGTTTGCTCTTCTCTACTTAACTGTTTACTCCCCTCTGTATTTACCACAGATATGTGTCAGCCCTGACAACACCAGCCCGCCTCTCGCCAGTGGATTTCCATTACTCATTGCCCTCGCAGGTGCCTACCTTCCAGATCACATCCCCCAATGCCAGCCATGCCATGTCTCTCCCTCCTGCTGTCCACAACCCCTACCCTCTGGAGGATGACCAGCCTCTGCTGCGCCGTTATCAGGTGCCCCTACACGATGCCCAATGCCAGGAGCCCTATCGGCAGCAGCGTCGTACCTATCTAAATGACAGCAGGGGCAGCCTGCCCTCCAGTCCCTACCGGCTGGCTGAGGAAGAAGACTATGAGACCACCCAGGAGTATCTCTCCTCTCGGGAGCAACCAAAGAGAAGTGGGTCCAGTGGAACTGGTAGCCGGCGCTGGCGGAGATCCAGACTGAATGGCCACGTGGCCCCGCGTGGATATGAAGCATCTCGGGACTATGGGTCTCGAAGCTGTCTAACAGATAGTGAGTCAGAGGAGGATGGTGAGAGCACACCCTTCCTCAGTATGCAGAACATGAATGCCGAGCCCTCCACCATCTACAGGCCGGTGGACAGTCGGACTTCTCACTCATCGGGGCGGCACAGTGGGCATGGGAACATGCATACAAGACTTACACACTCACGCTCCAAACCGGACAATACACCCCATTAAAGAGTGAAAATGAACCAACATAAATCAATATAGTATAGACCTGCATCTATAAGAAATATTTTTATTTTATATAACTGACAGATATTCTAAACAAATGAAATATTTATTTTCATTTTAGCAAAAGTTGTCTACTAGTTAACAGCAAAGACTTTTTTATAGGGAAAACTCTATTTATATGTACATTTTGATTTACAGCATAAAAAGATGTGCCAGTTTTTTCACAACGTAAAAAATAGAGTAATATTGTGGTGCCTTTTGCTGTATGCCGATGCCAGAGGGCCAGTGGAGGTTTTTGTAGCCTTTCTTATATGGACGCCTCATTTTTTATACACATTTATGTTCTTTTTCCTCTCTGGTTTCCTGTTTTACTTTCTTTTCAAGTTGCATTCTTTGAGGAGTCTAGCCCCACTGGAACATCATCCCTTCCATGTCACGCAATATAAACCACTTCAACATAAAGTGTATGTTTACATTAATATGATTCGCCTATAGGGTTTATGATTTGGGATCTAATAGAACGCCTGATAAATGCAGTGTAGATCCTATTTGCCCTGTGACTGATGTCTAACGAGAGGGAGAGAAAGTGAAAGATTGTGTGGTTGTGTGTGTAAATGCCTGTGTGTGTGTGTGTG